ACACCAACGGGGGGGGGGGGGGGGGTGGGGGGGGGGGGTGGGGGGGGGGGGGGGGGGGGGGGTTTGGGGGTGTGGGGGTAGGTGTGGTTGTGTGGGTGTGGGTGTGGGTGGGTGTGAATATGGGCGTGTGGGTGTAGGTGTGGTTGTGTGGGTGTGGGTATGGCTATGTCTCTGAGCGTGTGTGTCGGAATTGTTCTTTTCCCGTTCGTAATCAAGATCCACACGCACAGCCACATCCATTCACACCTACACTCACGCCCACATCCACATCCACACCCTCAGCCACACCCTACTTAGCAAGACCTGAGCGTCATTTTCAAAATACCCAGAACTGCTCATTAAACGGTTCTGAAAGAAGATAGAAGTTCTTTCTTTGAAAATTACACTATAGATTTTAAACTGTCTGAAGAAAATTAGAATAAAAAAAGGCAATCTAGAATAACATGACTTGAAAAGAATGTATTATTTGTTTTTAGCTGCCGATGTTAGTTCTGACTTTGGTCGTTTTTTGTAGTCTTCTATAAACTTTTTAGTATTGTCAACTGCAACTTGATTTTTCATAAAATGTTCTTCAACGATTTTCATATAATCGTCACGTTTCATATCTACTGTGTCTTCCAACTCTTCCGGTAAACCACACTTAGAAATTCGACACTCCGGATGACTACTGCCATAACGATGTAAACAACAGGACCATACAAGTTTTGGAAGCGGCGTTTTAACCGTTGCATTCTCCTCCTCGTCTTTCATCAATTCAGCTTGCTGCATTTTCAACCGTGCTTCTTTAATAGCTATAGGCGATGTTTCAATCGGTTTGTCACAATCGATAACAAAACCATCATGATAGTGACAATCACCAAATTTTGTGTCCTTTGGTATGTAATCTCTAAAACATTTCGGACATTTTCTTGAACGTTCATCATCTTCACATTTCTCTTTTTCACGCTGTTCTTCATCGATCTGTGCTGTTGTCTTTTTGAATTCAATATCATTGATTAATGTCGACTTGAGATAGTCATCTTTGACAATGATAACAATCCATTTTTCAACTGGTTTTGCATCGTTCTAAAACAGACAAAAGACAAAATTGACTTTTTCACTCACGATCGATCCCATATCGAATTTTAAAATAGACTCACCTGACTAGAATCTTGTTCATTTTCCTGTCGTTTTTCTACTTTCTCAACAATCGTCTCTTTACATTTCTCACGAATGAATTGATAGAGACGTATATTTGATATTGAAGTTGACTTTGTCATTTCTGAATCAGATTTATTCAACATAATTAACGAATCAATATCAAAGACAAGCATTGACTTGTTGTATTCGTCACATTCCAAAAATAGAGTAGTTAAACTTTCAAATATTTGATTTTCATCTGTTGCATTCTGTTTTGTTAAAAAATTCAAATCAATCACTTGTAAAGTATCAATATTACGCGTTGAACAGCCTTGTATTAAACGTGCTAATAACGACTGAATTGTTATCTCTTTTGTATCTAAATTTCTTTCTAACGTTGGTTCATCTTCTTGAAGTTCAATCAAACACTTTCGATCTAATAAATCAATGAGAATACGTCCACTGGGTGGTACATCTCGAAAATCGAGTGAAAATTGTTCGTCTTCATTCTTTGAATCAAATATTTTCGGATTAAGACGACAGATTGCCGGCAATGTGCTTATACCAAACCAAACATTATGTTCTCTTGCGACAGTATCCGCTAATTCTAACAGACGTCGATCATTAATATTTGGATTACGATCCATCTCAACAACAATGCTTGATCGAAGTGCACCAACAGCTGCACCACTAAAATTTGTTGTTACTTTTACCAAGGCATCTATAAGTTTCGATGTAAAATTCTTTGATTTACAAATTAGAGGATTTAGCATATTCTTGCGTGTAGCCGGAGATGGACGACCAACAAAGACTTTTGCTTGCATACGTCGAAGAAATGCTTCATCCATCATATTGCGACGATTAGTCGCACCAAAAACAATTAAATTCGGAATATTCTTTACACCTTCGATGTGTGATAGTAAGACAGAGATTCCATCGACTTTAGATTGTTGGGCATTGTTATCACGCTTCGGTACGAGTCCATCGATTTCATCGATTGTCATTGCACAAATCAAAAAAGGAATTGTATGAGCACGATACATGATATCGACGAGAAGTTTTTCAGTCTCACCAACCAACGGACGATTGAGTTCACCGGCAGACAACGGTACCGTAATCATTGTTATACCGGCGTAGATAGCAATTTGCTTGAGTAATTCAGATTTACCTGCGAATAGAGAATAATTCTGAGTACTTTGGCTAATTTGTAAGAAAACTTAGCATTTTTATGATTTCATCTTACACCACTAAAACTACATACCTGTTCCAGGCGGTCCGTATAGTAATAGCCCACGTCCATATTTCACCGTAAGTTTCTTCTCCGATTCTTCATGAACTACCTGATACGGCGGGCTATAAAAAATCAATTGAATTCGTTGAACGGTAACTTAACAAGCGCAACCTATAGGACTAAGACTCCTACCACGGTCTATTTGATTTTAATCTGAATTTTAAGAAAAAAAAGCAACATTCGATGTCAAACAGAAATGAAGGGATAGGGGATAGTTAGAATTATTCAAGGGGGAAAAAGCGGATCCTCGGATCCTTGGATCCTCTTGGATCCTCTGGATCCTTTT